TTAGTTTGATTCCATTAAGGAATTATGTTAAAACAATAAACAAATTACATAAGATTTAAAAAGGCCGGGAGTTACTTTCACTGCATTCATTTTAAAAACTTTATTTATTTACAGTATTACATGTCCACACAGCCTTTTATTTTGTGTGAGTCTGAACCTGTTTTACCCCTTGTGTCATGATTCCAAAGGTACATGCATGTATTTTTGTCATTTTTCTGGAGGCTACCACTAGCAGATTAGTGGTAATGCTGATCACCGGCAGAGGCCTTTAAGGAGCTGGCTGTGGTTCAGTACTTGCCTGAGTGTCAACCTAAGCAGTACCTCAAGCTGCACATATTTTTTGCCACCCTCCCTGGAAGCCAACTACCAGCTCACCAATTCATTGCTAAACTGGAACTCAATCTGCCTGTCTGCCCTCCTACAGTACCAGCTTCTGTTTAGTTTTTTATTAAAAGAAAAATTATACAATGGATTCATTTTTCAAACTGAGACTCACTGACTTTGGCTCATTTTCTGTGAAGAACATATATCAGAATACATATTTAATGACCACACACCATACACCCCCCTACACATTTCTATTACATATAAGATGTCCGTGTCCACTGGACCCGGGGCAAATAGAAGTGTGGAAATTGATGTTCTGTGTACCACACACACACGTACATGCACACACACACACACAGAAGGCCTACACAGGAGGAGGAGACAGTGTAGGAACACAAAACATCAGAGGGTCAAATGTGTGAGAAAAATGAGAGCAGACAGTGTTGACAAACAATGGCTCAACCTTGTGTGGGAACCGCAGGTGCATAAACACAAAAGGTTCAGGGAGAGGCTGCTGCTTCCCACATGTCAGATAACAGACTGAAGAGCTCCTTTGTCCTTCAGGCCATCAGGATGTTCAAGATCTTGACCTCTATACCTGCTTGTCTCTCTTTTTTTCCTCTATTGTAAAAACTATAATGCTAAACTGTGTGATTGCTAAATATATTTACTGTGTAATATCTCAGTCTGTTATCACAGTGCAGTAACAATCTGATCTAATTTGATGTTGCTGCTCACTTTCACTTCTATA